TCTTCCTTCCAAGGAGTGGCTGGTGGGTTTGAACCGCCAGCCTTCTGGTTAGCAGTCAAGTGCCTTAGGCACTATGCTACCAGAGCTCCTGGAAATTATTCTAGAGATTAACAAATCCAAATTGTCATTTTATAAATGATGCAATTGTGACTCTTGAGTTGTCCAATGACCAACTCAATGTCTCTCAGTTTATGAATGACAGCTAGAACTTGAACATGACTCCTTATCTAATGGCTTTAATATTCTGTTTCAAAGTCAAAAGCAAATTAATTCCTTAATTTTCTGCTGTCTTCGTCTACCCCTGTATTTTCTATGGGGTTCCCTCCTCTCTACCCTTCATATCCATCCCTCTCCCATTGCCCTCATTCAAGCCTTTATCATCCCCCACCTAAACTATTGCTAATTTCTGCTGGCTGATCTCCTGCCTCCCATCCTCTCAATTTCAAATCCATGCTTCTTTCAGCTGCTACAATAGCCTACAGAAACATAAGCCTCACTTATATATAAACTCCCTGGCTTAAAAACAGATCTCTTTGGTCAATAGTTCTCCTTTGTCTATAGAGAAAGTAGAAGCTCTTTAAAATGGCATACTAAGGCTTTCATAATCTGATTCCTGTCCATTTCTCCAGCCTATCATTTTCTACTCCAGAAAAAAATCAAGCTTCTTGCAGATTCCTGTACCCATCATGCTATTTCATGTTGTACCTTCACTCAAATTGTTCCCTTTGCTTATAATGCTACCCCCAACACTTTCACCTACCACCACTCCCAGAGTTTCTTATTCAACAGTTTGGGGGAAGAACTGGAAGTCTATATTTTTACAAGCACCCCAGGAAATCAGTGTAAACTGAGTTTATTAGGCCTGTGACTTTGTTCTACTAACCTCTGTAACTAAAGTGTCCATCATTCAATTCATTCAAATTTTGTTTTATGAATGAATTATTAATTGGGGGACCTCCATGTACTCCAATCTGAATGGCCAAATAAATAAGAAGAAGCAAATAAACCTACATACAATATCACTCAGCATGTTCACTAAGCTGCAAAAGTTCTTGTTAGCTCTGATTCAAATTTAAAACAAAGTCATCAACTCCTATGAGATGAGGAAACTGGAAAATTCTTCACATACTATTTCCACTACCTAGTTATCCAAGCCCTGAGTGGCCTACATCCTGGTCTCCTTAAGCCCTGAGTGGCTTAGATCCTAGTCTCCTTACGGTTGAGAAGTCATACCTTGCTGACAATAAACAGGTCCTCCCGTTTCACCACGCCCTCCTTGATCTTATGCTGGATCCCTGCTCCAACCTCATTCTCATTGTGGTAGAAGTAAGCACAGTCAAAGTGCCGATATCCCACATCTATTGCCACTTTCACAGCTTCTGTCACTTCTCCTGGAGCAGCCTGCAAAATAAGCAAAACAGAAAAGTAATTCACCTCCATCCCAGGGAACCCAACCCAAAGTTCCCCCTTTTTACTCTATAATATAGAATAAAATAATACATAAAAAATTAAGTTACTGAATTGGTACCAATGTCATGTAGTCCTAAAATTAGGAAATGTCAGAGTTAGAAAGGAATTTATAGATAACCTAGGTCCCAACTTCTTTACTTTTGGGGGGAAAACTTTCTATAGATATGTTTAGTACCTGCAAAGTACTGAGATAAGTGCTGTTCTTCTTGAATGAATAAAGAAATAAATTAATGCAGAATGAATGCTAACTGTGACACAAGTATAAGACCCATGTTCTATAGTAAAAGACCATAGTCCCATAGTAAAGGTCAAACAAAGTATATACTCACATAAATGTAATTCACCATACTAAGGACCATACCCACCAGCCACTCCTCGGAAGGAAGGTTGGGCAATCCTACTTCCGTAGTGATACTGCCTCAGAAACCCAAGGAGGGGTCGCTACGAGTCGGGTTTGACTCCACAGCAAACAACAACAACAACAACAACAAGGACCATATGCCAAAAAACAAATGAATGGTAGTTGCAAAAATCCTAAGTAAAATAATAATGAAGTGGATGCAACAGTGTATATGAAAAAATGTATACCATATCTAACTTGAGTTTTTCTCAGGTATGCAAGGATGCCTTGATATTAGAAAATCCATTAACATAACTTACCACAAGTAGCACATGAAAAGACAAAAAGCAAAAAATCGTTTCAATCAATGTTTGATAAGATTGAACAACTATTCATGATTTAAACTCTAAGTAAATTAGGAATAAAATAGAACTCTTTAACCTGAAAAAAAAAAAAAAAACTCTGGTAGCACTGTGGTGAAGCATTGGGATGCTAACCCAAAGGTAAGCAGTTCAAACCCACCAGCTGCTCTGTGGAAGAAAGATGAAGCAGTCTGTTCCCATAAAGATTTAAAGCCTTGGAAATTCTATAGAGCAGTTCTATTCTGTCCTATAGGGTCACTATGAGTCAGAATCCACTCAATGGCTGTGGGTTTGTTTTTTGGTTTTTTTTTTTCCTTTAACCTGATAAAGACTATGCATATTTAAAAAAAAAAAAAAAAAAAAAAAAACCTAGGGCAAACATTATCATCTTAAATCTGAAAATATCATAAGCATTCCCTTTACAATCAAGAACAAAACAAGAATACCCATTGTACTGGCAGTCTTAGAACAATTAGGTAAGAAAAAAGAAATCTGAGGCCTATAAAGGAAATAAAACTATCATTATTTAGAAAACACAAAAGAATCTACAGAAATCAGATATAATATTAGAAATAACAGTATAGTTTAATAAAGTGGATGGAAATGTGATAAATATATCAAAGGTGGTTGTTGTTCTCCATACCAACAGCAAACAACTAAAAAACTATATAGTCAATTTTCATTATATGTAGTAGTTATCTTCTATAAAGTTTCTAGAAACATTAAACAAACAAACAAAAAAAAAAGCACTCGCTGCCATCGAATTGATTCGACTCATAGCAGCCCCTCCTTGGGCTTCCGAAGCAGTATCTCTACAGAAGTAGATTGCCCAATCTTCCTTCCAAGGAATGGCTGGGAGGTTTGAACCACCAGCCTTCTGGTTAGCAGTCAAATGCCTTGGGCATTACACCACTGGAACTCCCTAAACACTAAATTAAAAAACCCACTGCTGTCGAGTTGTATTCGACTCATGGCAACCCCTCCTTGCGTTTCTGAGGTGATATCACTATGGAAGTAGATTGCCCAACCTTCCTTCTGAAGAGTGGCTTGTGGGTTTGAACCACCAGCCTTCTGAATAGCAGTCATATGCCTTAGGCACTACACTAGCAGAGCTCCTAAACACTAAATTGTTGTTGTTGTTATGTGCCGTGGAGTCAGACCTACTAATAGCGACCCCTCCTTGGGTTTCCGAGGCAGTATCACTACGGAAGTGGATTGCCCCATCTTCCCTCCGAGGAGTGGCTGGTGGGTTTGAACCTCCAGCCCTCTGGTTAACAGTCAAGTGCCTTAGGCACTATGCTACCAGAACTCCCAAACACTAAACAAGTGAATGCTAAACCAGTGCCCTTAGGAGCTCTGGTAGCATAGTGCCTAAGGCACTTGACCGCTAACCAGAAGGCTGGCAGTTCAAACCCACCAGCCACTCCTCGGAAGGAAGGTTGGGCAATCCTACTTCCGTAGTGCCTCGGAAACCCAAGGAGGGGTCGCTATGAGTGGGGGCCGACTCAACGGCAAATAACAACAACAGCAAACCATTGCCCTTAAGAGAAATACAGAGTTAAGTGTGACTTCAAAGTGCAACAGCTGTGTGTAGAAGACCAAGTACATAAAAGGCAGAATTAAAAGGAGACAAGAAAGTCAAAACAGTTAATTCGCCAAGTGTTAGTAATGACTACCAACTGCATGTGATTGGCTGGATGATGAGAACCAAAATGAACAGACTACATCCTTGGCCTCTAGGAATTAATAAGTAGGTAGAAGTAGTAACTTAAATAATTTTTTTATGAGTAGTGGTTGACCATTCTACTTCCAACTCACCCGATAACTTAACAATGTCACCAAGTTAGCAAACGTGAAAGGCTTTTTTTTAGTTGGTGCAGCCTCAAATCATGGATAAGAATTAATAAATTCAAAATGGAGAAAGTTCCAAAGCGCTTTCAATGTTTCCAGCTTGGGTTGTTTTTACATAATAAAGAAAGTGAAGTTCCAAAATTTATTATTTTAAAAAAAAAAAAAAGTAGACAACTCAACGGTTCCTTATCTTTCTGATATACGCAGTATTTCCCCATCTTCCAGTCTGACTGCTGTCTGATCTAGTTAGGTAACTGTCAATTTTTCTGCCCTTACCCAAGAATCACAATTTTTTCTTTTGGGCTTTCCTTGATATTTCTAAAAACTTATTGATTTGGCCTCCATATGAAATACCACTATGAAATAACATAGCTCAAACCAAAATCCAAACTCACTGCCATTGAAGTCCATTCGACTCATAGCGACCCTTCCGAGGCAGTATCACTATGTAAGTAGATTGCCCAGTTTGCCTTCCGAGGAGTGGCTGGTGGGTTTGAACCGCCAGCCTTCTGGTTAGCTAGTCAAATGCCTTCGGCACTAGGCCACCAGAACTCCCCAATTTCAGGACCTCTGATGTCTAAAAATACAGCTTTCAAAGAGAGGCATATTTTGCATTACAAAATAATTATTTTATTGTACAAAAGATTTACCTCGGATGATTTTGGTGCACGCAGGAATTTTTTATCATTAAAGCAGTCTCCCCAGCTCCCTCATTTTGCAACATGGAAATTGAAGCCGGGATGGTTGGACAGCCTGCCCAAGATCGCCACCTTCTTTTTCTTCCCCTTACTCTGCAGGCTACCAAAGAGCGCACAAGTGATAGCAGGACGCTTCAGAACAAAAACCAGAACCCAGGACTTAGGAACCCCAGTCTCTGGTCGCCGGAAATAGTCATCGTAGCCCAGAGGAAAGGTAACGAGCGATAAGCTGTGCCCGGGAAACTCTGACCTACGCTCCGCAAGTCGGCTGGAGGACAGACGGCCAGAAAACGAAAAGGGCGCCCCAGAACCTCGGGAGTGGAGAGTACCCCAAACAAGACGAATACACCCAGCCATGACGAAACTACCAGGTGCTCCTTTAGGTAATGGGATGCCACAAAAACGAAAAAGCAGCTGCACATTCCCCACCGCGCAGCAGTTTTACCTGCCAGGTACCCAGTCCCAGGATCGGTATCTTCCCCATGGTCCCTGTCGCAGTCTTTGCGACAACTGCTGCGACTTTACCGCATAAACGGTGCGTGCGGGCTGTCTGGCGGACAGCCCTGATTGGCTGGCCGCGCAGCACGCGGGTCCGCTGCCAACATCCTGGAGGCGAGCGGTACGTAAGTTGGAAGCAAAGATCAAATCGTTACTGACTGCTTGGTGCGTACGTTGCACTGTCCCTGTGTTATCACTGATAAGACCATAGTCCTCGACGTGTAGGACCCAGGGAATAACCTGCTAAAAGAAGTGATTTGCAGGTTCCAAGATTAGATTATAGAGCTGGTTACACCATTGAATAGCCTAAACACCATTGAATTGTTGATTTTAAACAAGAGTACTTCCTGCTTTGTAAATTATGTCTCGATAAAGCTATTTTTAAAAAGAGATTATTTGCAAAGATTAAACTGTAAAGCTATAAGAAAATAAACTTTTGAAAAAACAATACATAACTTCCCTCTAACAGACTATAGATGCCAAAGCCTGGGTGATGACCAAACTTGAAATGCCAGTAGGATTGTGGGAGTTAAAAATATCCCCTTCTTGACTCAATGGAGAAAAGAGGGGGAAAGTAGAGGATACTCTATGCTCCAAAGTATGGGTGCCTTAGTTTGAATCTCAGCTCTATTACACTTTCACTCTGTGACCTAGGCAAGTTACTGAACTTCTTATGTGTTGCAATTTCCTGGTTTATTAAATAGGGTTAATAATAGGGTTATACAAAAAAAACTCACTGCCATCGAGTCAGGATCTGACTCACAGCAACCCCTCTTTGGGTTTCTGAGGCAGTATCACTGCAGAAGTAGATTGCCCATCCTTCCTTCCAAGGAGTGACTGGTGGGTTTGAACCTCCAGCCTTCTGGTTAGCCTTAGACACTACACCACCAGAGCTACCCTGTACCTTATAGGGTTCTCAAAAATTATACCAATGCCATAAGTCAATTCTGACTGATGGCAACTCTATAGGACACAGTAGAACTGTTCCATAGGGTTTACTAGGCTGTGATCTTTACAGAAGCAGACAGCAGTGGGTTCAAACTGTTGACTTTTCAGTTAGTACCTGAGCACTTAACCACTGCACCACCAGGGCTCTTTATAGGGTTCTCATGAGTATTAAAATGGATATCATCAACATCAAGTATCTGGAACAATGAATCAGGGAGCTATAGAAACTACTGTAGCTCCTCTGGGAGTTCCTGGTAAATGCAAACAATTAACACACTCACCTCCTAACCTAAAGGTTGGAAGTTACAGTCCATCCAGAGGTGCCTTGAAAGAAAGGCCTGGTGACCTACTACTGAAAAAACAGCCGTTGTAAACCGTGTGGAGCATAGTTCTACTTTGACACACAGTCGGAGTCAATTCCAGTGCAAATGGTAGTGGTAGGTCCTCTGCCCTGGCTCCATGCCTGAAATACTCTTATAAACGGCAAAAGTACAAAGGCATTGCAACCTCTTAACTACCTGAAGGTATTAGCTGAGTGTCGTAATGCATCTTAGCTACCAAGGCCCTTCTCCGTATGAGAAATACTAAACAACACACAGGGCCAACTTGCCAGCTGTGGCAAGCCTTGCTCTACGAGAGCGCCAGGCTTATACCCAGGTAACCCCAAAACAAGAACCAGTGTGAAAATGCAATCAGATTGCTAGGAAATGCTAGGAAGGAAAGAGTCATTCTTAACTGGGGATCAGAAAGAGAAGGGATGGATCACTCTACAGCAGTACTTATCAGCCGTGGCTGCACAGGTAAATGACCTGTGGAGAATTTTTTAAACAGTGATTCCTTGACTCCCCCCACCCCCAAGTGTATTGATTTTAGCGGTACTTGTATAGAGACTATTGGAAACAACCTCTTTCTTTGGAACCAAAAACTAAACCAAACCCAATGCCATCAAGCCAATTCCAATGCATGGCAACTCCATGTATTACAGAGTGAAATTGCTCCATAGGGTTTTCTTGACTGTAATCTTTACTGAAGCAGATCACCAGGTCTTTCTTCTGCAGTGCTTCTGGGAGGGTTTGAACCATCAACCTTTAGGTTAGTTGTTGTTGTTAGGTGTCATCAAGTTGGCTTTGACTCATAGAGACCCTTTGTACAACAGAACGAAACACTGCCCAGTCCTGCCCCAGCCTCACATTGCTTGCTATACCTGAGCCCATTGTTGTAGCCACTGTATCAGTCCATCTGGTTGAGGGCCTTCCCCTTTTTTTTCTGAGTCTCCTCTTTACCAAGCATGATATCTTTCTCCAGGGAATGGTCCCTTCTGACAACGTGACCAAAGTAGGTGAGACGAAGTCTGGCCATTCTCACTTCCAAGGAGCTGTACTTCTTCCAGAACAAATCTGTTAGCTCTTCTGGCAGTCCATGGTACTTTCAGTATTCTTCTTCAGCAACACAACTTAAAAGCATCAACTCTTCTTCAGTCTTCCTTATTCATTGTCCAGCTTTCACGTGCATATGAGGCTACTGAAAACAGCAAGGCTTGGGTTAGGCACACCTGTCTTCAAAGTGACATAGTTTCTCAGCAGATTTGCCCAGTGCAATACAACGTCTGATTTCCTGACTGCTGCTTCCATGGATGTTGATTGTGGATCCAAGTAAAATGAAATCCCTGACAATTCCAGTGTTTTCTCTGCTTATCATGATGTTGCTTATTGGTCCAGTTGTGAGGATTTTCATTTTCTTTCTATAGAAGTGTGATCCATACTGAAGACTGCAGTCTTTGATCTTCATCAGTAAGTACTTCAAGTCATCTTCATTTTCAGCAAACAATGTTGTGTCATCTGCATATCACAGGTTGTTAATGAGTCTTTCTCCAATCCTGATGCCTTGTTCTACTTCGTATAGTCCAGCTTCTCAGATTATTTGCTCAGCATACAGATTGAATAAGTTTGGTGAAAGGATACAACCCTGATGCACACTTTTTCTGATTTTAAATCATGCAGTATCACCTTCTCTGTTCAAACAACTGCCTCTTGCTCTGTGTACAGGTTTCACGTGAGCACAATGAAGTGTTCTGAAATTCCCATTCTTGGTTATCCATAATTTGTTATGAAGAAACACAGTCAAATGCCTTACATGGTTAGTAAAACACAGGAAAATATCGTTCTGGTATTCTCAGCCAAGATCCCTCTAACATTCAGCAATGATACCCCTCCTTCCACTTCCTCTTTTGAATCTGGCTCAAATTTCTGGTAATCCCTTGTCGATGGAATGCTTCAACCATTTTTTAATTACCTTCAGCATAATTTTACTGGTTTGTTGTTGTTAGGTGCTGTCAAGTGGTTTCCAACTCATAGCAACCCCATGCACAGCAGAACGAAACACCTCCCGATCCCACGCCAACTCCATGATCCCTGCTATACTTGAACCCATTGTTGCAGCCACCGTGTCAATCCATCTCATTGAAGGTCTTCCCCTCTCACATCGTCCCTCTACCCTACCAAGTATTACATCCTTCTCCAGGAAATGGTCCCTTTTGACAACATGACCAAAATAGGTGAGACGCAGTCTGGCCATTCTTGCTTCCAAGGAGCATCTCGGCTGCACTTCCTCCAGGACAGATCTGTTTGTTCTTTTAGCAATCCATGGTACTCTCAGCATTCTTCACCAGCACCACAACTCAAAAGCATCAACTCTTCTTCGGTCTTCCTTATTCATTGCCCAGCTCTCACATGCATAGGAGGCAATTGAAAATATCATGGCTTGTGTCAGGCGCACCTTAGTCCTCAAGGAGACATCCTTGCTCCTCAGCACTTGAAAGAGTTCCTTCATGGTTGACCTGCCCAGTGCTACACGTCATCTAATGTCTTGACTGCTGCTTCCATTGGCATCAATTGTAGAACCAAGCAATGTGAATTCTTTGACAACCTCAATTTTCTCTCCATTTATTGTGATGCTGCTTATTGGTCCAGTTGTGAGGATTTTTGTTTTCTTTATATTGAGACGTAATCCATGTTGCAGACTGTATTCTTC